CCCCAAAACCCCAAAACCCCAAAACCCCAAAACCCCAAAACACTTCTCAAAACTAAAAAATTCCAAAACAACAAAAATGAAAAAACGAAGTACCCCTTTTAACCCCACTTAAAACTCCTCAGCCCCTCACCCTTCCCCTATAGGCCATTCTCAGTCCCCCTACTTCCCTTCCTCCTTCATTCCTTCCCAAAATCCCTCTTCTCTTCCTTCAATCTTCTGAAGTTCCCAGTCACCGTACAAGAATGAACAGGTCTTGCCAGAAGGAGAAACTGTAAGGAAGAAGAGGAGAGGGAGTGAAGGAGTTTGGACGCAAAGGAAGGAGGGGAAGAGTAGAAATGGGACGGTGAAAAGGTGGTGATCGGTACAGAGGTGGAGGAGTGGGATAGTTGTCATTTAGTACTGAAATTTATGCGCTTGGGTATGTTCTTCAGTGGTCAATTGTTTGCTTGCCAGTGTCTTCAATGGAGAAAGTGGCATAGAGGTGTTTATGGTAGAAAATAACTTTATATTAAGAATCAAGGTTACTTGTTTTGAGAAATCTCAGCTTTACTACTTGAAATCAAGCTTTGCTGTTTTATTTTAAGCTGATCTAACTCGATAAAAAGTTACAGAAATAACAAAATGAAATCAATCAGAGATAAGGAATTAATGAGGAAAATAAAAGAAGCTCAAAGAGGATCATCCAGACTAGAATCAGGGCAATAAACTCCATCAATAAGTATTTGGCAAAGATTCTCCCAGTGCTGACCTGAATCTCGATAGTAATCACTTAATATTTGTGTAACCGATTTTGGTGAAATATAGAGCATAGAGAATGTATATGAAGAATAATTCATAGATCAAAGTTTGGATGATTAGGAATAATTATGTCAAGGTTACATCTACAATTCATTGCTTATTTTGTTTTTTTAAAGATACCGTAAGTACAATTTTTGGAACATGAAAGGAAGAAATATACTATTCACCTGTAATACATGAGCTGTAATTTTTAGATATATTACAAGAAGACAAAAGATACTGAATACGACTCAGAGAAATCTATGGATATTGTGTAAATTTTTGGTTAATCATCAAAAGCCGATTTTGTTTCACTCATGGAATTAAGTTGCGAAGGCAACCTCCTATCTATACAGGAGCAACACGAAGTATTTCATTTCTAATATGTAGTCAAAAAGGCTAAATACATCCTTGCAAAGATGAAAATGAGGCGAAAATTAAGAAGCAGTTTGTTAGTGGTTAAATAAAACAAATGGAATATTTAGAAAATTAATATCCTAGCTCTTAAAATACTTGACTATTGGGTCTTTTATTAGATAAATTTGATTTGGTACACATCCTTACTACTCAACGATGCTTTACAGTAGCCACATTTTCTGATCCTGGCATTAAAGCAATCATTGATGCAATTTTGACAATAGAGATGTCCACATGAGAGAGCAGTTGATACCTCAAAAGAGCTTCAGATCTTACACAATAGCTTGTTTCTATATCTCTCTATCATCTCTCTTCCTTGACTACATTCTTCACATTCCCCATTGCTTGAACTTATACTCTTCAGCATGCTCTTCTTTAGGTCTTCTTTCTTTAAATTTATTTCTTTAAGAAGCTCTTTGCTCTTATCTTCTCTATGAGATTCAGAGATTCCATAATTATTCAGCTGGATTTTCAGATTATTAATCTTCTTAGTGTTATTATGGTCAAGATCTTTCAGAATTTTATTTTCTTCCTTTAACTGCTCAATGATCTTCTTATTCTCAACATCTATTCTGCGGTTAAGACTTTTAGTTTCTTCTATTGAGCATAGCTGGTTTTTTAATCCTGCTACTTTTATCATAAGATCGCCTTTTTCAGATATTAAGGTTGTGTTTCTTAGTTGATAGTCCTTACTAGTTTCTGTCAATAACTGTGTTTGTTCTACAACCTTCATGTACTCTTCATATTGGACTACCATCTCTTCGGTCAATCTAGTGATCTCTGCCTTTAAGCTATTGATTTGATCGTTATCTTCAGTAAATAGGTCTTCTTTCTTGATTTTTCTGAAAGTTTCCAGGTCTTGCTTAAGTTCTTCGATATATCTTCCTCAGCGCTGAGTCATCTCCTTATAGCTTTCAGGGGCTCCCAACTGGTTATCCTCCTCATCTTTACTCTTAACAATGTGTTGGGCAATTTCTTCTTTGACTCGTTTGTTACTGACAAGCATCTCTTCTTTTAGCTCTTTGAGTTTTTTGTTGAATACATCTATTTCCTTTTGGTGCCTCTTTTTCAAATCATGAATATCTTCATCACATTCTTTCTGAAGTTTGTTGAAACGCTTAATTTTCTCACTGTACTTATCACTAAGTTCATGATAGCGATCTAAGAGTTCTCTACCTTGCCTTGAGAGTTTCCTGCCAATTTTGGTTTGAGTGAAAACAGAATCACTTTTGAAGTATGTAAAACAGTTTAGTGAGAAGCTCATCAGATCATTGATAGCCTTTTGGGCAGTATCCTTCTCGATCAAACTGAGTTTGTTCTCTCTAGTATCAGTTGCAATATTAGTTTGATCACTTTGTACTTTTCTCCCAAAAATCTTTATCTCAGGCTTTCTAAGTTTTATTTTTTCATCCTGTGGCTTCTCTATACCTTTGTAGATATTCAGATTCGTCTTTGGACCCTGATTCGCTTTGAGCTGTTTAATTATAATTTGTAATCTTTTCACATCTACTTCATAGGCTCTAACTTTGGCTCTCAAACGGAGAATCTCACTTTCTGGGTTCTGGCCATCAAGGTATTGAGTTTTTTTATCTGTGTCACAATCACGAGCAACCAAGCTTTTCAAACTTTTCATAAATTTACTTTCTTCTTCCTCTGTATAAGTAGATTTCACCTTAAGATCACTTTGAATCTTCTCTATCATCTTTTGCAAATCTCTATCTGAGACTTCTTTGAAAGCTTGCAGGAAAAATGCAAGGATCTGGTCGAAGTAGGTACTGAAAAGCTCTCTCATAAGGTCATCATTGAGATCTGTCTCATCAGTTGGATAAAACAGTTTGTAAGAAAGGGTAGTAAAGTCCTTAAACTTCTTCCTTATTTTCTCATTTTCTTCAGCCGCAATTTTCGGATCTCTCTTCTTATACCTATCAAGATATCCTTTAAACTTGATCATAGTGGAGGTAATGGTATTATTTATAGTCTTGAGGCCTGTCTCCATCGTGACCATCTTATCTTTACAGTTAGACGCAAAGGTTCTGTCTGCCTTACATACATTTGACAACTTCCTATTCTGTTCCTTCAACAAGAAGATGTTTAACATCGGGGTTGGGGTCTCATAAAGAGTCTTAGCATTAGCTTCTGTTTCTACTTGTTGATCAATCATTGCTATCCCAAACTATTTTTACCCTAGTCTTCATAAAAATCATTATACAGAATCCCAATTTTTAGAACTCTATTTGGGGTTTTGGGGTTTTGGGGTTTTGGGGTTTTGGGGTTTTGGGG